CAACCACAACCACAACCACAACGACGACAACGACGACGACGACGACGACGACGACGACCACGACGACCACGACGACGACGACGACGACGACGACGACGACGACGACGATGACGATGACGACGACCACGACCACGACCACGACCACCACCACAGCCACAACACAACCCCAACCACAACCACAACCAGAACCACGACCACAACCATAACCACGACGACAACCACAACGACAACGGCAACTACCACAACAACGATACCGACAAAGACGACTATGTGTTGTTGTTGTTGCTGTTGCTGCTGTAGCAGTAGCAACGGGAGCACGAGTCGGAGTAGCAGGAGGAGTAACTAGACGTGGGAGCAGGAGCAGGAGTAGGACGAGTAGTAGTTACTAGTAGCAGTCGTCGTCGTCGTCATGGTCGTACGAGCAGCTATAAGGCCGTAACCTCTACAGTTCCCATCAGTGCAGCCCGCCGGCGTCCCTCAAAGAGCTGCTCGTATCTCTTATGGCAGCGGCAACAGAAGTCGACCTGCAGCGGGGAGGGAGCCAATTTGTGGCCGGTAGTAGTGCCGGTACTACATATGGACCCTAAAACCCCTAAACCGAACCCAAGCCTGTCCCTGGCTACAGGCCAAAGGCCAAGCAACAGACTCAGGCTCCGCATGGCAAAACACATCTACTGAGATACAACATGAATCTGGCAAACTGCCCAAGGCGGTATTTGCTGGTCATACAGCGGAAAATTACTTGCAGGGGTAGTCTTTGTCAGTGAGATCTTGGTCTGTATACTATACCACAATCTTTGGGCGATCAACGTCGCGCCTGGCAGCCTTCCGCACAAGCGTACCAGGTGCGCTCCTCCATGCAAACGGCTTAATATATAGAGGGCCTTAATAATTAGAATAAGGTTTTGGGATCCTTTGTAGTATAGTTATAATAAGGAAACCACCATAATAATGTCGGTAATTATTGAAGCACCTATATTAGCTGGGGTCTAGCCTGAGGTCGTAGGGTTGAGGATTTACCTGTGGCTCCAACTCTGTAGCGACAATGAAGGCGTCATCCGTCCCAATGTTATTTTGAAGAGTTTGGGGCCACAGGTAAAGCTTCAAGGTTCGAGGAACTCGGTGTGGGTTGAGGGTTCAGCGTATGTGGGTGTCAAAACCACCAGCTTGGCAGGTCACTTATGGAGCATGCTGCACTTAACATATACTTGCTATTCGCCTTTTCGCAAACTGGTCGAAACGAACCCTGATTCCCTGAAAGCACGAAAACTTGCCGTGCATGATTTGCGGAGTCTCAGCGTCCAGGGCTGAAGTTCAAACGGCAGGCGGCTGAGGTGAAGCATGCTTTTCTTAAACGGAATGAAACCCTCGAAGCGCGATCATAAACTTAAGCCCTAAACCCTAAACCCTAAACTCCTAAAGAACACCCAATTGCAGGGTGGGTGTGTGCTTTTGGTGTCTCAGTTCATAAGGATCCATGTTCCGATGCAGTACGTAATCTGGCCTTACCGGGGCCAAAGTCGAAACCCCAAAACCCCCCAAGTCCTCGCCTTCAAGCTCCAAATAGTACTAGACTTAGGGTTTAAGGTTTAGGGTTTTGGGTCTACTACTACTACTACTACTACTACTACTACTACTACTAGTACAACTACTACTACTACTACTACTACTACTACTACTACTACTATCACCACAACTATACCATTCTATAACAGGTACTGGACCCTCCGGGTCAAGATTTAGGAGTTAGGGCTTGGTGCATGCAAGGACACGACCTCGGGCTTTGATGGGGCTCTGGCGTCGATCTTAGGGCTCATCGCTGAGGGTTTGGGGCCAAGCGTCTATACCCTGAACCCTAAACCCTAAACCCTAAACCTCTTTAGGTTTGCTTGGGGGTTTGGGGTAAACGGAGACCGGGACCCTGGCTTGAGCCACCTTTCTTTTACTTGTTGCCTTACTTTCTGATTCCTGGACCATCTGAAGACAAATGGAACGTTTATTGTAGTTACTGCGAGGCTTACCTTCAACTACCATAACCTGCTTTTTCGGCTGCAGCTCAAAGACTTAAAGCTGCCTGAGCTTGAGGGTTTCTGATACTTCTGTTTTGGGATCGGGGTCGAGACTCTAGGGTTGGTCTTCCTCGCATCTCCAAATACATCTACAAAGAAAGTCTTTCGAATCGTCAAGCATAGCGTATAGCATATGGGCTTAGGGTTTGAGTATAGAATATCGTATATATTATCTAGTCTACCGTATACAGTATATAGTATCTTGTATATAGCATACAGTATATAGTATATAGTATATGCAAGGTGGTAGAGACTTCTGCCCTCAGCTCCGCAACCAATGCTTCAATCGGAGCACTTCCGGAGGATGTCCAGGCTTGGAGCGATGTGCGATGTGACCCTAAGGGTCCAAGTGCCTAATAATCATATGGGAGTTTCCGAAAATAATGGGTACCTTATTGTGGGGTCCTTATCATAAGGATCCTAAATGGTACTATTTTAGGGTCCGCTATTTTCGGAAACCCCCATAAACTCTTCTGAATACTAACCTGCACATCTACTAATCCGTAACCGTCCTTTGGACCCTTAGGGTGTTCTCCTGGAGGTAGAAGTCTCATCGGTGGTAGGAAGAAGAGGTCCTCCTCTCTGCTGCTGTTGCTGCTGCTGCTGCTGCTGCTGCTGCCGCTGCTGCTGCTGCTGCCGCGCGTGCTGGACAAGGTGGTGCTCTCCGAGCTTATGTACCCTACTGTGGAAATTGAGACGACACCTGTCTTCTTAATTCATGCAACAAGGTCGGAACAGGATCACGACGAGGAGGAGGAGGAACTGCAGAATGAGTTGGTGCGTGCTAGACAAGACAACCAAAGCCCTAGACCCTAAAGCTCTAAACGTCTAAAGCGCGAAAACTTTCAACCTGAAGCCCGAAACCCTGAACCCTAGTCAACCTTATAAACCCCTAAATCCTAAACCCTTAACCCACTTATAAACCGCGAATCCTGAGCCCTAACTCCTACACACATGTTGTGTCCTCGATGGGGTTGTCGCAGTTGTCGCAGGCACGGCGCGTGTCAAAGGCGACGGAGCCCGAAGGTGTCAGGCGAAACCTCCATGGTGTAAGACTCTTTAGAGGGATCTGTAAGGGTTTCTATGAGTTTCTGTAAGAGTTTCTATAGGGTTTCTGCAAGGGTGCTACATGGGTAGTTCTCTGAATTAGGGTCCCTTTGGGGGTCCTTTTTATAAGGGTGCCGTACTATATTGGCGACCCAAAAAAGGACCCTAATTTGGAGAACTACCCATGGTGTAAGATCTAGGCCTTATGGATAGGGCTCTGGGGTATTATACTGTCATTGTTATAGCATAAATGTGGCAATGAACCTTAAGGAATAAAAGTTAGCCATTATTCAAGCTTTTAGAGTAGGTTTGTGTTCTTCTTCTCGGCTCGAGTGCGATGGGCGGCACCAGAACGACAGCAACACTAAGGAATATCAAGCATCATACTGACTTTAAGCCCTTAAAGGTATGCCAGAAAAAGGCCAGCACATGGCATAAACGCTGCTTCCTTGACTACCACAAGCTGAACCTGCTCAGAGCCGAGGGGATTCCCGGTCAGGGCTTAGGAGTTACCTTAACCATTCGAAGAACTACAATGAAATCATATTTCGGGAACCCCAAAAGGAGGGTTTCCTTAGGGCAGGTAGGGTTTTAGGGTTCAGGCTCGGGTTTCCAGTTTCAGGGCAATCCGACCGCTTTTTCCAAGCTTTCCACGCTAAATCTCGGTGAAACTCACGCCGCTGGGCGGGAGGCGGCAAGACTGGGTTCTTGTTAAGGAAGTTAATTTTAAGTTACCATGAGAACGGAATCATATTGTTTGCAAAAGATCCCTAGTATTAGACTAATTGAAAGCCTTAACAAGAGTCCAGTAGTTTGATCGCATGGTTGGCACATCCTCCCTCTAAGTCTAGCAAGACCCTGGCTTGAAACACCTTTTGTTGGCGACCGTGATTTAAGGGTTGACCAAAAGTATAACTGATATAAGATAGACTACCATATACCATAATCTACTATAGAAGAGTATAAAGCACCTGGTCGCAGGATCACAGTGTCATAGGTCTTTCCAAAGAGCAGTACTATATACTTTTCAGGGTCCAGGCAGGATTTAGAAAGTCGTTCTTTTGTTTCTGACCGCATGGTCAATTCAATGCGCTGCAGCTCCTGAGCTGCTCGGATTTCGAAACAGTCGAATCGAGGCCCCTGGGGCCTGTTTAGCAGGCCCCGACGCTTCGAATCGGTAGTTTCGTGGTGTAGGTTGCGCGGTTTCCGGGATTTAGGCTTCAATGTAAACATCTCTGCAGCTCAGGGCACGCTGTGATCTATAAGTTTTGCTCGAGAGTTCAACTGAAAACTCTGGGCCATGCAGTCCCACAGCAACTGCTCATATGTAAAGCCTGAACACTACATTTAGCACCCACGAAATGTGGGCTTCGGGCTTACAACGCATGATGTCGCTCTGTTTCCAGCGCCTGGGCCAAGAGATAACCGGGCCATTCCCCTGTATCCTACTGAAAAGGTTTGGTGGCTTAGCAACTTTGGTGATAAGTACATACGGTAAAACGGCCAACATCACAAGCCTGTCTGTATTGCCGACGGGCTCACTATGAGCAGCTACTAGAACCCATTCTAACTTACAGCGACAATGCACTGCAGAAGGCCTACTTCCTGAGTTTCAGGATAAGCGTAATGCGGTGGGGTTTCATAATCGGGAAGCTCGCCAAGTATGTAGGCCTTTGCAATTAAATACACAAACACGCAGAGGCTGTATAGATCTTGCTTTCAAGATACTCCATGGTATTGTCGAAGAAAGTTTAGTGTAGGATTCGCGGTTTCGGGCTACATAAAGTGTTGGGTTCAGAAACTCTTTAAAAAGAACAGGGATGTGTCCGAAAGATACAGCTTCGGCTTGCAGGACCACCGGAGATCAACTGATAGTATTGGCTTGCCCGCTTGGCAGGCAGGTCGTGGGCAAAGATCCGACTGCTCCCATCCCGTCGTCTCAAGCTCTGGAAGAACGTAAGTTATGATACCTTTCACTATAGGATCTAACCCTACGAGGCGCTGCGTACTGGAGCTGGGATGTTGTCTGACATCTCAAACGCTGAGATGCGTGTGTAGTGTTATGACCAGTGCCTATGGACCTCAGCAGATATTGTTACTACTTCTACGAGTTTTCTACTTGAACTAGATTTTGACGTAGCCCCCCCCCCCTTTCAAACCCTGTTGTTTTTAAGGCCCAGGACCTACACTAGATTGCAGCACATCCGAGGTTCGGGTCCTGTTGTGGCACAATTGGCTGAAGACGGAGCTCTGTTTAATGAACTTCATTTGAGCTCGTATAATGGGGATCTATAGTAAACAACATGCTTTCCTTCTTGTGGTATCTAAAACTAACTTCTCGAACAAAACCAAAGAAGAGCTAGACCTGACGGCTTTGCACCCTTGCCAAGAAAGGCTCAGTCTGTCTACTTATTGTGGTAGGAATTTACATGCCCAACATGGGTAAAGGCTATCCGCGTTGAGGAGCAGCTAGCAGGTTCCCCAGCAACCCCTTAATAACTAGAAGGTGAGTTCAAGGGCCATAAGGGTGGCAATAGATGCATTATGAATTTCATTGCCATTCTTTTACTAGTCAGTCTGCAAACTGAAGAAAAAACATCAAAACGAAAAGGGCATAGGGGTAGTGCTGGGGGACCTCGGCAATGTCTTGCCCAAAAAATCCACAAACGTGACTGCACACCCGGAGGCTCGGAAGAGTTAGCCAATAATTATGGGGCTTTACGGCCGCAACCTGGAGCTGCACAGGAGATTTCCCACATGTGTGTATACGGTTTAGGTTTAGGACTTGCGCATCTTTATATGTATATAATATAAGAATATTTATATTTGTATTTATATTTGTATTAATATCTATATATGTATATACTAGATATGTATGTATATACTTCTTGTTCCAATACACCTCCCCCCCCCCCCAAAGATCTACTCTTTTGAAGACTCAAGACACAACTGATGCCATGAAAAAGCCACCCTTACACAACAACTGAGGCACTGAAATATTTGCCTTGTTGAAGACCCAAGACACTCAAGACACAGTTGCGTTGAAGACCCCATCCAAATCAAGCTACAACTAGTAAGTATTGATTGCAATGTGTTTTTACAGCTAGCCGACAACTATTAAATATTGTCTGTACTTGATTTGCCTACATGTAATGCAGCAATGTTCACAGACCGCAGGAGGCAACAAGCGTCGCAAAGCAAACTACAACAACAAAGTAGTATCTGAACCGGGTCTTGTTCCAAATATTAATACCCCTAGCCTCAAGAAGTGCCTGCCTAGACTAGTGACCCTGCTCCTGGATCCGGGCCCGATTACAAGTCCAATCGGTTCAATCGGGCGGCATGTGTATGTGCGTAAAAGAAGAGAAAAGACATATATATATATATATATACATATACATACATACATACATACATACATACATACATACATACATACATACATACATACATACATATATATTGTGTTTTTTCTTGGGGGGGGAGGGTGGGGCTGTACCATACATCTACTTTGATAGGTATATATTGTACATATGATATTTTACCCTAAGACCTAAACCGTAACAGTCTAACAACCCGGTAAGTCCTTCGAGCCTAGTAAGTGAAAGAGATGCTGGTTTCAGATGGCGCAGCACTCATTTGAGGAGTCGTGCTTGAACCACACCTGAGTCGCGAACATCGGGACCGTAATCATGACAATACGCTTTGATGACAAGACGTTTTTTTTAGGAGAGGTATATTTAACTATACTACAAAAAATTACATGAGGAAGGATAAGTGCATACTACCATAAAATCCAAACCCGCATGCCGGGCACAGATATCCTACACCCTTCACCCAAAGCCTGCTACAAACTAAGTCATAAAGCACAAAACGCAAATCCTTCACCCGAACCGCGAAACCCCAATTTGAGGGCCGGTAACACTTAACCGATCATCACTTCAGTATCAGGGATCTCTTTCGTGCCATAACAGCCCACACTATGCATGACTTCCACACAACATGTATGGATTTGATGTATGGGGTTTAGGGATTTGGCGTATGGGTAATTCTTCAAAGTAGGGTCCGCCTTCTTTCGGGCTCCCAAAAAAGAACCCGAATTTAGAGAGCGAGCCATTCGGTTTAGGCTAGACTAAAGCCTCAAGTTGCATTTCCTCAGGCCTACAGGCCTTGAAGACTCTACTAGACGAAAACGAGCAGCCCTTTGTGCCGCAACCCTGCCTGGGCCGCAAATAACTTACCTTGTTCAAATCACACTAAAGATTAAACTACCCGTAGGCCCCATAGTAGTTCCTTTTTTGGGGATTCCCAAAAAGGATCCTAAATATAAGCCACAAAAAGGAACTACTATGGGGCCTATGGGTAGCCAATGTGCCGTCTGCTAAGTCCGAAAACCTTACCCTAAACCCTAAACCCCTAAACCCCTAAACCCTAAACCCTAAACCCCAGCTTTGGCCTGAGGGCCTTCAAAACAACAAAGCCTAACAAACCTTACCCCTTGACCCCGGAGACCCTGCAGCCCTCTCCACTACGCAGACCCTGAGTTGTAGTGCCTGTTTTTGGATAAGAAAGGGGCCTTAATAATTAGAATAGTGTTTAGGGGCCCTTTATAGTATAGTTTTTAATAAGGAGCCCCCAAAATAATATAGGTCCCTCCATTAACCTATGGTATCCTTAGGTCCACTGCATCAGACAACAAGTTAGAAGGGCTTAGTCAGGGGCTTACGGAGTTTAGGCTGGAAGAGGATCATACTCCTTACCTAGACCCTAAAATGTAGTACCTCTTAATAGATGACCTCTTTTATGGTCAGGATCCTATAATAAGAAACTAAGGTAACCATAAAAAGGTGCTACATTTAAGGGTCTAGGTACAGTGACAGTTTGAAGCCTGGAACTCCAAGCTCTCAGGTACGACCTGAGAGAGAAAACCCTCCATGCTCCCAGGAAACCAAAACCTCGCTTAGGGGTTAGGGTTTAGGGTTTAGGGTTTAGG